CCCGGGCCCGGCTCCCCGGCCTCGCTCTGCCTAGTCGGGCTGCTCCCCGCCAGGCTCCGGCCCCGCCCGATGGGGAGCGGGGGAGGGGCGCCCGGCCGGCCCCTCACTCACTCACCTTCTCTCTGCACAGTGGGCACGGGGCGCGGGGCCCTATCCCTACCCCCCGCCTCCCCCCCCACGGGGGCCGCCGCCATGGGGGAGCCCGTGGGGCGGGCGCTCCCCGCTAGCTGCGCAGGGATGGCGGCGCCCCGCCCGGCCATCTTACAGCGAGCGCGCCTGCGCCGAGCCTAGAGACCAGCCGGCGGGCGGGGCCTCGAGCTCATGCGGCTTCCCGGCCAGGCCACCTTAAAAAAAACAAACCTTCGCCAGCGCCCAGCCCCCTTAACGAGAGCCGGGTCCGCCTCCCCCCGCAACAGAGCCTGGGCCCCCTTCAAGGGAACCTGGTCCACCTTAACTGGCGCTCAGCTCCCCTTAAGGGGGACCAGGCCACCTTAACCGGCGCCCTGCCCCCTTCAAAGGACTAGTCCTCCTTAAATACTGGAGCACATGAAAATGACAGGTGCCATCCCGTAATAGCCCGTCTCCAGTTGCCCTTTGGCTCCAGGGATGGCAGGTCCCAGCATGCCATGCAGCTGCTCCATCCTGCAGACCGTGTAACCAGGCCACTGGGATCAAGGTCACGCTCTGGGTACCAGCACCTGCACCGCCTTGGGCATCAGGGCTGTGTTAACAGATGAGAGCGTTGCAGGCTGTGCTGTGAAGCTCTGTGGCCTACCTCAGGGGATCACACGTTGCCTGTGTCTGCTCTGTGAGGTCTTTGGTTGTCTCTTGATGACATGGATGGCCTCCAAGACTCTCCCTCCAGCTTGCCTCTTGATAGGTGCATAACAGAGCTGCAGTATTGCAAACCCCAAGTGTTCAAATATCATGAGCTCCACCGGCATGCCAGGTTGCACTGCCATTGAGTGAAACAGGCCATCAGGCTCATCCGGCAGTGAGTGCTCTGGAAGATGAAGGAAATTAAAAATTGCTTCAGATTAAATTATGTTCAAGGTGAGGTCTGTACTAGAGATGGGCCTGACCTACAAAATGGAGACCTATGCTTGGGTCTGGATTTTGAACACTACAAAGGTCAAGGGTTTTGGCTGGGTTCCTGACAGAGGTGGGTGATTAACCTCAAATGTGGATTTGGATACAGATTTGGATTCCTCACTGCCAGCCTGTCCACTTTCCTCTAGGTCACAGTGGTTCTCAAACTTTTGCATTGGTGACCCCTTTCGCACAGCAAACCTCTAAGCGCAACCCGTCCTTATAAATTAAAAACACAATTTTTAATTTTTAGCACTATTATAAATGCTGGAGGCAAAGTGTGGTTTGGGGGTGGAGGCTGATGGCTTTTGACCCCTCACGGAATAACCTTGAGACCCCCTGCGGGGTCACAACCCATCAGTTTGAGAACCCCAGTCTAGGACCTGTTGCCTCCATGAGATTCACAGAGTTTCAGGGCTGTTGTAATGAGGCCCCTGAGATTTTTCTTTGCCATTTGCTCGCTCATAATTAGAGAATCAAATTCCATAATTAATGATAAGTTAATTATAAATTGTATGAGCCACTTAAACATTTGAAGATTCAGCTGTTGTGTTGGTGAGCTACTAGCATGTATTTGATGAAATTATGGACAGCAGATGGTGCTATTTGTTTTATTGATATAAGGGCAAGAAATAGAGGAAATTTTCCATCAGAAAATGCCAATTAGTTGAAAACAAAATGTTTCAGTGGAAACATGTTGATTTTGCCAAAAGTTCATTTAGAAAGAAAAATTGAAATAAAGCATTTCAAATCTTCTATTTCAACCTTTTATTTATTAATGTTTTGATTTTCCATTTCAAAATGACTTTTTGTGTCAATTGATAAAAAAATTATGGTATGTAATATAAAATTTGAAATTGGAATGAAATATTTTGATTTTATCAAAGCAAGGTATTTCAATCAACCTGAAATGATTTTTTTTTGTTTGAAATTTTTTTCCATTGGAAATTTGAAATTTTTGCTTTCATTTCATTTTGGAATGGGAAAAAATTTCTCCGTCAGAGCTATCTGAAGTTTCAGAAAAGCTGAATCTTCCATGGGTATCTTCTTATTAATATTGGAATTTTAATTATATATTGTGACACTACAGTATCATGGCCTACAAGTCCACTGAGTGGTAAACTTGTGCAACCTCTGATTAGCAGCAGACAAATCTCGCTACTCACACAAACTCAAAAGCAGATCTTTCTAGAGCTATTCAGAATTCAGGCTTGCTATCTGAAGACCCAAAAAGGCTGACAGACTGCTGTTTACTTTCAGCGACCAAGGAGATGGTGCCACAGATGGTTGCACAAACACTCTAGTACAAACTGTGTTGAGGGTGAGAGATCCCGAGCAATGGAGGCAGGAGTGGAAAAAGACAGCAGTTTCGAGAAGATCAGTTCGAATTGGAACGAAATCATTTTCAAAATGTTAGCATTTCCCGCAGAACTGGAATTCCAGCTCTAGAAGTCACTTCCTCTTTTACCCTTTTCTTCTATTTTATATGCTTAAAGCTTATAATTTGGTAATATAAATACAGTAGATCAAGCTATATTATTTGATACAGTATCATACGGTGTAATTTTATCACTAGATAAAATAAATCTTAAAGGTGTTTAAGTAGCTTTAATTTTCTTATATAGTTTAAGGCATTTTGTATCACCCTCCTTCAGTGTGGAGAAGTTTTGTTGCCTTGGCACCCTGACTACAAAATATTGCAAATAGTTCAGACCATGCCATCTTTTTAAAATAGAAATGTGATCGATATGATATATACAGTCAATCTTTAACAAAGGTCTATATACAAGGTATTTGTTTTGTATTAAAGAAGCTGATACGTTCAAATGGTACAGTATGTTGAAAAGCCAATGTGAAGTGTCAGTCTTTAAGATGAATCATCCAAAATTTTATAAGGACTAAATGACCATAAAGCCTGATTAACTATATGATTAGAGAGACAAGGTGGGTGAGGTAATATCTTCTATTGGCTGAACTTCTGTTGGTGAGAGAGAGAAGCTCTTGAGCTTACACAGTGCTCCTCTGACCTCTTCTGTAAAGGGTATGGAACCTACAGGTTTGGTGCCTCAGGGGACACTGCTCACCTACAGGCAGAAAACCAAGCCTTACAGCCACAATGAATCATTTCCAGGTGGAAAACTGCACTTATGAGAACAGATCACAGGACTACAAGTGGGAATGTCTCCCACAGCCCCACGGCACATGCCACCTTCAAGACCTGAACTCACAGTACCATTATCAGATTGCTACGATGGATTAACCAGGACAGGCTTCCATTTCCTGCTATGGCCCAATGCCTACCAGAGGAACCAGGGAGGGGTAGGACTGGTCATCAGCCTTCCAACAGGTCAGGCCCTGTACTGGGTGTTCCCTTTACTACAGCAGGATCACCCCATACTGGCCAGTTGGGACACCTTCCTCTGGCAATCTTTGACAACCCACACCGAGCTTGCATTGCGGAGGTGGTCGTTCAGAGACTCCTCCAGGCCTCAGGGTGGGCTGCAAAGTATGCAGCCTGCTTTCAACGGCCTGGAATGAACTGGCCCAGCTATGCTAAATTCTGTCTTGATCTCAGCGAGGAAATAAAAGATGAGCTTGCCCCCCTGGTGCCTCCTGTGCATCTGGATGCATTTATTGAGCTCTGCTTCCAAAGAGACACCAGACTTAGTGAGTAGCAACTTGAGAGGAAAGGGATTCCACCCTGCATCCAGGCACCACACACAACCCCTGCAAAGGCCCCCTTACCCAAGCTCATGCAAGTGGACATGGCATGAACCCAACTGGACCTTTCCAAACAGGACCAACAGCAGCATGAGAACTTGTGTTTTTACCGTGGTGGCACTGGCCACATGGTGTCCATCTGTCCAGCTAAGTCCCTAAACCCTGTGGTTCCAGGGAAATGAACTTGCAACCTCAGGCAACTTCGAGAAAACTCCATCAAACCCCCTCCAGCAACCCATTCTGGGTGCCTGGTCCGATACAGGAAATGTCCCCACACCTATAACTTCAATTACAACTCTGGCTCCAGGATTCTAGATAGATACTCTCCCACTCCCCTTCCCCTCAAGAAGCCTTATTGACTCTGGGGTCAACAATAACTTCACGGATACTACTGTGGCTCAAGTACTCAGCTTACCCATACAGACTAAGGCCACCCCTGATTTAGTCGAGACAGTCAATGGATCGCTGCTAGCCTCTGGCTCCGTCAGTCAAGAGTTTTGGAGGTGATGGTTGGGGAGCACTAGGAGCTCCTCCAGTTTAGCCTGATCCGGTCATCACACTTCTCTCTGGTACTTGGAATCTCCTGGTTGGCGAAACATGACCCGGATATCTCGTGGAGTGAACACACCGTGACATTTAATTCTAAGTTTTTCCAGGAGAACTACCTCCAGACTTCCAAGCTCGAGCCTCCAGAACCTCAGGTTCGATGCCTTGCCCGGGCTTTGGAAACAGGGAGAGATGCCTGGGCAACAGAGCAGGCCTCCTTGCTGCTAGGGTCAGCTATCACACTCCCAACAAAATACCAAGAGTTTTCAGATGTATTCAGAAAGTGAAACACAGACACACTATCCCCTCACTGGGAATATGACTGTCTGAGCAACCCGCGGGGGGGGGGGGGCTGGCTTGGGAGGCAGAGGGGAGCCACCCCCCAGCACTCACCGGTGGCACGGCTGGGGCCAGGTCGCTGCACTTCCCACTGCCGGTGAGTGCAGGCCCGGCCCTGCTGCAGTCCTCAGAGGTGGGAAGAGGCGGGGCTGGGGTGGCGCAGGGGTGGGAAAGAAGGGGCTGGGGTGGAGCGGGGGCGGGGGCTTTGGGGAAGGGGTGGAGTGGGGACAGGACTGGGGCAGAGCAGGGGCGGGAAGAGGCAGGGCTGGGGTGGAGCAGGGGCGGGGGCCTTAGGGAAGAGGCGGGGCAGGGGCTGGAGCAGCACGCAGGTGCCCCAAATTTCCTGGTGCCCTACGCAGCAGCGTACTTTGCGTATGGGTAGGGACGGCCCTGGATGGACCACTATCTGGTTGCCTGCTTAGATGACATCCTAATTTACTCTGAAGACCAGCCTATGCACAACCAGCATGGCCACAAGGTCCAAAAAGGCTCTGCCAACATGGACTCTGTGCTAAGCTGGAGAAATGTATCTTCAGTCAGCCCACTGT